TCTTCTCAGTCTCCCTGTGGGGCATCACCTAAAACCCAATTTCAGCAAGTAATTATGAGGGGATGCAGTAACAGAAAACCAGGGGAATGTAGTACAGAAAGCTAGAGATAATCCTGTAACTCAAAGAAATCAAGGGGACAGCTAAAGATAAACTTAATATTCATATTTTAAACCCAAGGCACCCTGCTTTGGACACAACTATTCAGATCAAATACTGCGATTCTAGTTAAACCTGAGTCACTAATTTGACTAGGCTGCTGGAAATCATTGCTCAACTTCTTGATGAACTGAAAAAAAAACAATAATAAAACAAAATGGTATCGTGAATTTCTATGGAATATTGATAACACAGAGTAAACTTCACTGTTCACAAAGTATCTGTGGGTAGGGAGAAGGTCGGTGGGTAAAAATGCTTACTGTACAAGCCTCAGAACCTGATTTTGGATCCCTAAAACCCACTTTAAAAAGAAAAGGTAGGGGGGAAGAGCTAAATGTGGTCATCCCATCAGTTATACTTAATTAGATGAGATGTGAAGGGGCGGGAGGAGAAGTGCCTGGAAGCTTGAGGTCCAGCTAGTCGGGAATATGCAACATAGTGACAGGGACAACAAGAGACACACTGCCTTACACAAGGCGCAAGGTGGAAGTGACTCCAGAAAGGTTTCTGACCTATACACTTGCAAGTACACCTAGACACACAGGGATAATTGAGCGTGCACACATGCATGGGTGCGCGCACGCGAGGGTTCACACACACATACACACACCACACACATTCATATAAAGAACCTAGAGTTTAAATGACGTTCAGTTAGAATCTAAAAGCATTTGTTATGCACTGTAGAATGGTTTAAGGGTTGTCTGTTCACCAAAGATCTTTTCATTCCACTCTTCTAAAATTCTATTTCCTGAACATGCGTGGAATATTGCCTTAAGACAGGGATGATGGTACCATACTTACCTTCCTGCCTTTAGGACATACCCGTTGTTCAGCCTGGCGCCTTAATTAACAAACCATGTTATATTTCTTCAAAAGGCATCCATCATGTCCCCTGGAGGACAGGGGCATCGGGTCTGACTCTCTCTATTTGGAGCCACAATGCCTTTACCATGTCATTGTGGTGCTTTGCAAATGCCTTTGGTAATCAGAAAGATGCCTATTCAGCCAGTGACACTGCAGTTCGCACCAAGTTCTGAATGGATTGGCAAAGGGAGGCACCTGCATTGACTATGCATCTTAACATGTGCCTATTAAGCAGAGCCAGAGCAAATGCTCTTAGTGTTAATTGTCTTGTGGAGGAAAGACATCAGATGGAGGGTAAGATACAAGGGAAGGATGAGAGTCCAAGTCAACACACATCAACTGTCTGGAGAAAGGTCTGGGGCCAGGTGCTGGAGAACAATGGAGACAATAAGCAGAGTACTACTGAGTAATTATTTTGCACTTGGCATTGTTCATAAAATCCAAAGCCACCAACATAAAATGGCTCCAGTAACTCTAACAGATCTAAAACTTAATTGGGTTCTACCATGCCAAGCCTTCCAGGTGTGGCTTCCCTCCTTTCCTCTTTGTATGAAGCTGCTCACCTCCACTGTCCACCTGGAGGGGAGAGGATGGAAGGGCAGAAACAGGGAAGGTAGTAGGGGTGGAGAGAGGACTAGATGTGGAGGTTAAAGGTTTGGTTTGACTCTAGCAGGAGGCAAAACTAAGCAGTAACCCATTTATATTTTTATCAAGAGCCAGCCTCACAGGCTCTGGAGGGGAGGGCTGATCATCCTCAATGGATGCTTTGATAAATCTGTCATGGCTTTCAGTTTATTAGCAGAATCATTTCCATTTTCATCACTATCTCAGTTTTGCTCCAACGAATGCCTTTTCCCTCTTAAGACCAACCAGTGAGGAAGTGTGAACGCTCTGCCAAGAACTATATTAAGGCAGAACCAGGGAACTCTAGCCAAAGATACGCTGTTAATCATTTTACACAGAAAAGAGTAAAAGATAGAATGGCGTAGTCTTTACAACCAGGAAAAGCAGAAACTCGTTGAAATATTTTGGTTATTAAGAATTAAAAACCAAGGTTATCATATAAGCACGTATATACATAATCAACTGTTATTTCTAGATACAAAGTCAGTTCGCTCCATCTCACTGGAAAATGCTCCTGCCTGCTGCAGTTGTTGCTGTCCTAGCGGGGAGATGGGGAGACGGTATGCAAAACTGGTACTGGGGGCTCCAGCCTCACCACCCTGAGGAGCACAGCTTCGCCATGTCCTCCTCTCACAGGCAGAAGGTTCCTCACAGGGTGCTCTTCCCTGGAATTTCTAAGAATTTCTGGGCAAAGAAAAGAGTTACAGCCGGGAGGAGCTGGGCCAGAGATGGCTCCTGTAGAGGAGGACAGAGAATCTCATTTTTGTGTTCGGCAGTTCCCATCAGTTCATCAGAGCCAGATATTTTGAGGGGAAAAGCTCCCATGTGGGTGACAGCCAGCCACACATTTGTACCTAAAGATCAGTGATGGGGAAAGCTGTTTCCTTTAGGCTATGAGGTCTCTGCCCCTGTCCCTCCCTCCTTTGCTTCAAGGCATTATTAGCATGGGTTAGTCCAAAGACCAAATGGGAATTCTTGCCACTAGGCAATGTCCCGGATTACTCAGGGCTGGAAGGAAAAGAATGGCTTGCTCGTGGGCAGGATCTCTGGGGCCCAGCGAAATAAAAATGGTCAGCTGCTTACTCCTCCCTTTAATCAGCCCTGTGCTCTCTGCAGAAACCACATGCCATGTCCTCTGGCCCAGCTCATTTGAAGAAACATGGAAAGGACTTTGAACTGCTGGAGCCTGGCATCTGAACTCCAGTCCTTTCATCTCTTCTCTCAGTACACGGCAGACAACATGCACTGCATTTGCTCATTAATTCTGCTGACCAAGTAACATGCCTGGGGAAAGTCTTTAAAGTGTAGGTTATACTTCACGCTCTCATCGGATGCCTGGTGTGAAAACCAAGAGAGGTCTGGGAAACTGCTCTCCAGGAGACCTCTAGGGAGGACAGCTGGTCCCTGAGGAGGGCACAGGTCCTTGCCACCTCTGTGGACATGTCTAAAGTTAAGTTCTGGTATTGGTCCTGTGGATGTATGGTTGCTGATGTGATCTGCCAGATGGGCTCCATGAGCCTACTGTTTATTCATCCTTATGCTAGCCTATCCCAAACAATCTGTGAAACTGCATGCATTTCTCCCTAGGAAAATTGCTACATATACAAAAAAAGGCACAGGCTCAATTCAGAATTTCAGACTGACAATTCTTTTAGACCTAACCTAAGGATCTTAAGATTCCAACTTTTATCTTTAAAAATAATAAAAAAATAATTTAGAAAAGAAATGTTTTATAGCAAGATCACATAAAATTTCAAAAAAATTGCATGAATACCTTTTCTTTTCGTATATGAAGACTCACAGAGCAGAAGTGCCCATGAGGACAGAATTCTCCTCAAATAACTGGATTCAAACCTTAGAGTGAACAGTCCTGGGAAAGGTAGTCTCAATCTAATGAGAGTCATAAACTCTGGGCCAGCTTGCAGACAATGGAAAGTCCCTGAGATATGGTGTTTGTTTGCACGCTAAGTTTCTAAATAACTTCAAGGGTGGGATTTAGGGGTGAAGCCAGATTTTCTAGGGCAATGGTTCTCTAATATCAGAAAATATCAATCGAATTTCCCCAAAGATCTTTGATTACAAAATGTCAGGTCTCACTTCCCTGTCCTACAAGTTTGTCTCAGTGGGTCCTGATGGTGTCCAGGGAGAGATTTATGTCTGTCAATACTACCCTTGATGCCCCTTAACATCCCACAGCGAACCATTTACAGTACATTGTCTGCTCTGACACCCAACTGATTTTGTCTAAGGTCAATGCCCCATATTCTCCAGGCTCACACAGTACTACTAAGAATCATTTACTATTACCCAGAAATGCACACAGTCCCTTCCCTAGGGAAAATAGTATATAAGCACTCTGTTGTGTTGGGCTGGTGAGTGGTCACACTTTGTGTTTAAAATGAACATCATGAATGAGTTCATCTCTTCTATATGGTCTGCCTATTGTCATTCCATCTCAGGGAACCTTCAGAGAGCAAGGGGGGGTCTTTGCTTTTACCCCTACACTTCCAAGAAATTATCTGAGATCCTCTATTTCAGTCACCTGTAATCTTTCAGTTAGAAAACAGAGACAGTTGTGTATATATGTATGTGTGTGTGTGTGTGTGTGTGTGTGTGTGTGTGTGTGTCTGTTTTATTCCCTGATTCACGAAAGAAGATGAAACTTACTGCGTTTCTCTATTTTTTTTTCTGGCAGTGATGGTGACTGTGGGGTCTTGCCAGGCCCATCAGACAACCCTCCCTTATACAAGCTATCTGCCTTTGGTGCCTCCAGTCTGACTGGACCTGTATACATTAAGAAAGAACTTCCATGTAAATACAGAAGACAGGTTTAATCAGCAAAGGCTTTCTTTAAGCTCCACTCTTAACTCAAGGAGGAGATGCCCACCATCACTTGGTACCAAGTATGGCCCCCATCTTGATGAAAGGTTAGGTGAACTGTATTGTTTAATTTTCCAGCATGCTGGCTTGGGAGTCAGCGAGCTTCTCTAGGGATTAAACAATTCCTAAGCAAGAAGTGCATGGAGGGAAACCCAATTTCATCTGTAATTCAGCATCAGCTGTGGCTGCCACACTCTGGAAAGGGGGTTTTATGGGAATAGGTGCACATCCCTGAAAAAAGCATAATGGCCCCAGATCTGCATATGGAGAAACAACTGGAGCAATTTAAATCACTGTGTTCCCAAGGAGGAGTTTAATGTTCTATTAATAAAATGTAGTCACTCAAAAGATGAAAGTTTAGTGTAACTCAAATAAAAGTGAGTTATGTGGCCATTTCCTCACACTTATTCCCCACATAAGATCCGGGGCTCATTATGATACCTCCTGGGGACCTGGCAGTTACCAGCATTACCTGATTCATCGACTCTCATTTTTTTAGTTGGGCTGTCACAGTTCTCATCATCAGACATTTCCATTTCCTCCTCACGGCGGATGCCCATGAGCTGCTCACTCTGAGCGTTGCGGAGTTCCTGAAAGCACAGGATACAGGAACATCAGAGATGTAGCCATACATCATCATATCATCTCCCCACGGTCTCTGGTAGATTATGACTCACACATCAGCATTTAGAGTCTAAAGCTGCTACCCCATATCCAGAATAATGTAGCGAGGGGAAATGGGTTAGAAGAAAGACTCAAGGCGTAAGTGTCAGACTCAGGGGAAATCCTTGCTCACCAATGACTGTAAGGGCTCTTTGGTAAATTGGTTAATCTCACTGTCGTCTCAGTCTTCTGATTTATAAAAATGGGAAAAATGTCTGCTGCAGCAGGGCTACTGAGTGGTTACAGAGACATAGCTATTACGTAGCTGGCAGACAGAAGTGACGTCAACTGCTACCAGAGATGTGAGCACTGGGACTTCAAGGAAGGCTGAATTTAGATTGGTCCTAGCGTACCTTTAAGAATACTACTATGTATCTGTTTGCTCAGTTTGCTTGCTGGAACATTGTGGTACTAATGGTTTAGAAGATGAAATGAGTTAAGGCATGTAAAATACTTTAGTGTGTATGTGTACATGTATTTGTGTGTGTGTGTGTGTGTGTGTGTGTGTGTGTGTGTGTGTGTGTGCCCAAAGATTGAAGTCAATGTTTTCCTCTCTTGTTCTTCACCTTACCTTCTTGATACAGGGTCTCTCACTGATTCAGCTAGACTGGGTGGCCATAAAGCTCTAGAAACTTCCTCTTTTACTTCTCTAGTCTGAATCACAAGTGAATGCCAATGTAATTATTTATATGGGTTCTAGGGATCCAAACTTATGTCCTCATGTGTGCTTACAGACTGAGCCATTTCCCTGGCCTTGTACGTAAAAGAGTCTTGGTGTCATGCTAGACACTTGTTGAGCTGATATGTATGTATGTATGTGCCTGTATATGATTTAGCCAAACACTCATGACATTCATATATTCATGACATAAAATTCAAAAGATGCTGAATCAAATAAATACAGAGAGGCCTTCTCTTTTATAGCCCATTACCGTGTTCATGGGGCTGTAGTTTTGTGGTAGTGATAGCTTAAGCACTACTTTTATAACCACAGATCTGAGGACCTGTCATGTCTAGTGACTAGGGCAGTGGCTGAAATCAAGTCAGGAAATTTCATTGAGTTTCTGTTTACTTACCCATAAAGGGGCACACTATTAAGCAAAGGTATTAGGCTAAAATGATATATTAGGAAATCCATTGTAAAAAGTACTAAATTATACATAACATCCTTACCAATATTCCTAAAGGCAGAATGCTGTAATTGTTTACAGTAATTGGCTATATAATCATTTTATACTTAGCTTTGTATTATGGACCCGTGAAGCCTTAGACACTCCACTGTTCTGTTTTCTTCTTTTAAAGGCCTCTAATTAAAAGTCAAATACCAAGATAATTTTGCTTTATACTAGGTCTGTGAGTAACAATAAAAGTAAACGAGTCCACCAGTTTATCGGGGACATAACCACTGCCCACTCAGTGGACGTTTATTTGCGGCCCTGGCTTTGGAAGTCTTTCCTTAGCTCACAGACTGAACTGCAGCAGGTGGAAGGAAAGTCCTCACTTTAACAGTATTCTAATGGACACCTCTGCACCCAAGAATTTCCCTTATGGAGGCCAGGGAAACAGGAGGGCAGGCAGTCAAAGAAGAGTCCCTAGAGGCCACAAGGACAACAAACAACACCTCCCTTTGTGACCGACCATGCCACCTAACAGAAAGAGGGGCTGGTTTTGTCTTAGACAAGGCTACCAGATCTTGGAGTTAGACACCACATTCAATTAGTGGGGAAATGTCTGGGCAATGGACAGCTAATTCTTCTATTGATGAAGAGCCCAATTCCCAAAGAGGTGGCTTGAATAAAGAAAACCAAAACAAGGAAAAACCAGGTGGTAAGAATAAACAAGGCTGAAAGGGCGGTTGCTTAGTTCTGCAATTAATGACAAACTGTCATATGACAGTTGTTTTGTGAGGAAGGTGGCAGAAAGGGAAAATATCAGAGGGAGGGGAAGCCAGGGTGTTTCCACAGGGTGCCCATGGTTCGGCAGTAAATCACTAACACATTCTAATAAATCTGGAGAGGTGTTGCAGGTAATTAACAGATGCTGTACATGGGAATGAGGAAAAATCAAGCCAATTATCAAGCTTATATGCAACTGAGAAACCATCCACAATGTTAAATTGCTAACTGGTATTTAATCAATTAAGCAACACGTAGAGGAGAAAAATAAAAGGTAATCTAGAATTCTGTTTTCTCATGTTTTCCCAAAGAGAAGGTTGAAGTGGCAGGAGGGACTTTTGAAAATGACATTCCACAGCTCTAGAATCTCTATCCCATCCCCCAGGACTGAGAAAGCAAGCAGGATTCCTCAGGAAAGCCTGACAGGCCCTGCTCTGAACAGAGCCAGAAGCGGGAGAGGGGAGATAGGAAATGAGGCAGGACCAGACAGGAGGCAAGCCCGGTGTCTGATGTCTGCTGACATACATGGAGGATGGCCTTTCTGTGCCCACATATTTTCAGCATCCTGGCACTTAGTGGGTCTGTGAAAATTTCCCTAGTTACATTTTATTTTATATGAATTTTAAAAAATCTCCAAAGGCTGACCATTCCCAAATGTGAATCATTGTTGCATCATAGTTTACAGACTCCAATTTGAGTTTGCATAAACCTCATGTCTTTATTGCATTGTAAACAGAGGCCTAAAATCAACTTTGACTTAGGTTGCATTTTGGTATCAGAAAGAATCAACCCTTCCTTTGTTTTAGGAGCCCTTAAAAAATTAAAGAGAAATTCTACCCCCTCCTTACAATCCCCAATAATGGAAGTGAGCTGGATCAGTCACCAGCCACCTTCTTAGTGAACACCACTTAAAAATGTCCTTACCAACTACTGACTAGTGTTTCCAGCGTCCCATTACTGGGAAGTTACTCAGCATTTGCCATAATAACAGTGACAATAAAGAATCTATTTAGTATTCATGTGGATATTACATGTAGTGCCATTGGTATTCAACTGCAATTTAGCATTAGTTAATGGGCACTTAAAATGCTACCCGGATGATTGATGTCCCAGTACTTTGTGTTTCCTCAAACTCTTCATAAAACACTTATTTTTCCAAGTGTGAGCAAAAACCATTACATAAATAAACCTTACCTTCTATAACTTTGTGATTTTTTGAAAGAGGGGAGTCTTTTAGAGAACTTTAATATTAACATGCTAGAAATGAAGAGGCATCCAAATGAAAAACATTCTCTTACTTTAAAAGAAGCAAAGGAAGACAGAATACTTACTTTTACATTACAGGTTCAAAGCGTACACTACAGGTGGAGTCAAAAATAACAGCTGGATGACCAATGACTAATGACACAGTTTGGTCTGTCTAGGCAGCAAGGAAAGTCAAATGTGGCCTCTTTCCTTGGCTGTACATACTCACACTTCACCCATGCACTGATGCTGTGAACTCAGCTAGCCTGGACATTTGCTCCCATCATGAGCTTTGCACCGGGGAGAGATGTGACAGAACCTCCTGGCTAACCCAGTGGACTAGGCATGGCTAATGACAAGAAGATGTAGGGAGGAAGGCATACTTGCCATTTCAAGCCCAAAGAGCCAACTGTCATCACCACATAGATTGCAGAAGAAAAACTTCATACTTAATGATTAGTTTTCTAAATCGGCTTATATATACATATTTCAATCTATTTTTCGGTAAAGCATCTTGGTTTGTTTCTGAACAAGCTCTTCACAAAGAATGGGAAAGACTCTTTCCTCCCTTGGAGAGGAAGGGAAAGTGTTCTAAGTGTGAAGCCAGCTGCTTTTCTGGACAAGAAACGAAGTAGAGCTGGATATGCAGGGGACAATGAGACGGGACGATGGCAGAAGGACTGCCCGCTGTAACAAAACCATTAATGGCTACAGCCACTATATTCTCTGCCAATCCAGCTGTGTGATGGTGGTTAGAAAATAACAGTAAAATCACCAACCTCAGAATGCTTTCGCCAAATGTCTATGTTCTTGCGCTGAGCTTTCGAGAAATGGTCCCAAGCTTTTTGTCTGGTAGAAGCGTTGAAAACGGCCACAATCTGCTCAACTTTGGTGAACAAGGAAGTCAAACAAGACAAGTAATTTATGTTGTGATCACTATAGGGAAGCAAAGCAAAGACACTAGGAGTCTATGGATGATGTCACAATAGAAACAACATCATCAATATCCATCCAATTTGTGCCTTTTTTGTACTTACATTTTTAGCAAGGTTGGGGATGTCTCCCTTCAAGTCTGTCTCCATAACTTTAGGTTAAAATAAATTCTATAGATGACCAGGGGAAGGATCATGGGCATCTACCTCCAAGCATCCTTCAGCTGTTGTTTACTAAATTGATATGGCAGATTATAGACCTAGACCTATAGATGTATAGACCCTGATACTACCATACAAGTAAAGGTATATAAAGTTCTGCCTGGCTAGGGGCTTCAAAGGAAAATCGATGTGGAGTGTCTGAAACCCAAGAACCAAATGGATCATTTTCCTTTGTTCTCCATCTCAAGGGCTTAACAGCAAGCCACTAAAGCTATTACTGTATCCAAGGTCCAAATTGGCTATGAATACTTGTGTTATAGGCTCCTCAGCCTCAGGAACCATTCTCCACTCTTTTTTTTTTTTCTCTAAAGACTGAAGCCAGTCCTCCTGCCCTCCTGGCTGGTAACAGGTGCTACGCATTCCCTGTGAAGGCAATGGGTGTCTGACTTCAGTACCCCAGGGAGTTCTTCGTTCTTTACTGAGTTCATCCCCTATCTCCGGCTGTTCCCCAGTCACCTTCTAAGCATCCCCTCCTGACTCTCATACCATCTGAGGTTTTAATTCTATCACCTTGACTTCATCGATCAATTCTGTTACCTCCAGGAACTGTGCTTTTAGGGTGGTAAATGTTGAAGGATCGTGAAAAATCAGAGAAAAAGGGATGGGGTCTTAGTGGATGTTAGGTAGAGTGTCAACTAATTATAGACTCAGTCTTGCTTGACTAGTTATTGATCTGGTAAGCATGGGATTAACAAACTAGTTTTCTGAATCAGTCACATGATTAAACCTGAACTTCTAAATGTTGAGTTCCATTCTTACGGATGCTAGCACCATATCCCATAATTCCTAAATGATTCCCGAGGCTCTGTTATAAAAAAAAAAGAAGACTTCAATTCTCTTCCAGATTTTCCGGCATCCAAAAAAACATCACGATAGCAAAGCCCCAAAGGTGAGTGACCTTCAGTGACAACAACTTAGCACATAAAATGAACAAGTACATGATGTGTCAGAGCAGCAGTTCTCAGTCTATGGGTCACAACCCCTTTGGAGGGGGGTCGAATGACTCTTTCACAGGGACCACATATCAGATATTTACATGATGACTCATAATGGTAGCAAAATTACAGATATGAAGTAGCATCAAAAATAATCTTATGGCTGGGGGTTAGCACAACATGAGGAACTGTATTAAAGGGCCACAGCATTAGGAAGGTTGAGAACCACTGTGCTAGAGGGAAGCAAGGTGTGTTCCATTCCTCATGACACTGTGGCGAATATTTCCTACACTGCTGGTAAATACTTCTCAGCCTTGATCTCCAGATATTTTCTCACGGAGCATTTTTGTTTGCTATTTTGTACTTGAGAAGAACCTCAATTGTTAACTTATCTAGAAAACCCCATCCTCATAGTATACTAAGAATCTGTTACTCTCAGTTTTAAAAAGACCATTTTCCACAGACACGGTTTACATTCTCCCTCAGCGTCTGTGGCATCCCTGTACTGCCTCACCCAGAAGAGGAATAAGCTTTCAGGTTCATCACTCTGAGCTACCGTAAGTGCTGACCCTCATCTGACTTTTACCCTCAGTGTGAAGCATGGTGTGGCCACCCAGGCTCTCTACTTCTTTGTCTACCTGGAGTCTGGAATCACTGGTGACTTTGGCTGTCCCTTGCAGGGTCAGCCCGGAGAAGCTAGAAATCATCTCAGACAAAGTCAATTATCAGGGCTGGTGACTGCAAGGCTCCATGGCTTTAAATATCAAAACACTGAGATTGTCATCATTTAGAAGAGGGAAAGTTATGCTGTTCAGGGTTAGCATTTGGGTGGTGATAATCAAACTTCTGCTGTCTTCGAGAGAAGACTTCTAATGAGGAAGATACAATAAAGAGTAAATGATGCATATTCATAAATGGAGGAGGGTTTGAAGGAAGATTTGCCACCAACTAACAAAGAGGAGTACAGAGGAAAAACAGAAGCTAGAGCCTGGCTCACTATGGTACAAAAAAAAAAAAAAAAAGGGCGAAAACATCAAGTACACTCAGGTATGTTTGCTGAGGCATGCCTCATTTGGTTAGAGGACTTGATTATTTGAGGCCATAAAGTAAATTCATTCATTCATTTCATTCAACAAACACCTGGAGGATCTGATCAATTGCCAGGTAGCTGATTACTAGAAGTGTATACATCTTTTTTTGTGAGATCTCAGTCTTGGAGATGATAGAGAAACAAAAGCAGATAATTACTCTGTGCAATAGAGGTAGGTTGGGCCACTTTGAGGAAAACCAGAGCAGCTAATTAGGATCAAGGAATAAGGGATCCTGTCATGAAGAAGGCAACATTTTGCCAGGTCTTAGCTGGTGACTTGATCAGGAGAGAAGTCTGCAAGGTTGGAGCTGTGAAAGGACTTTCCATGGAAGTATCTGGAAGGAAGAAGGCTAAGTCCATGAGAGAAGAAGCAGGGAAGGACTACGTGTTCATCCAGGTGGTGCAGTTGCTGCTATAGGTCAGGGCACAAGTGCCAGTGTAGCTGGTGTGGGAGACATGAAGAAGCCCGAGTCACAGCAGAGGCTCTGAACCAAGGCTGAGGTGAGCAGCCACCTGATAGGAAGCAGCAAGGGGTGACTTGCTAAGAGGATGTGGGGAGAAGGGAGGGGGAGCCAGGGTGACTCAAGCTTGGGAAGAGCATCAGAGATGCAGAGAACAAGCATAGATGGAGGTCTGAGCAGAAAAGACAGGGAACTGGCTCTGAGACACACTGGGCTTGAGTGTTTGCTGAAGGCCACCCAAATGGAACTGAACTATGAATTGGGGTTTAGAAAAATGTCAGAACTCTAAGATATGCCTCAAATTCTCTGGGTGTTCTTGCATCTCTTACAAAGTTCTCTTCAATGGGATAAGAAACTAAAAGGAAAACTAGATGGGATTTAATTATATCCTTTTCTCATGAGAGTTTTACATTTCCTATCTCATAGTCACACACACACACACACACACACACCACCACTACCACCACCACCACCACCACCAACAACAACAACAACAACAACAACAAAACCTCAGGAAGCTAAGAATTGTACAACTCAACTTAGGTTTGAACAACACTCTCACAGCATTTACACTGCACAGGTCAGTCTCCTGTTTCTGCAGATACCTCCCGAGCTAGAGGTTTGTCTTACAAATAAAAGTGTTCAGGCTAAGGTGCGTGTGAATCCATCATTAGGGAAAGACACTTCAAAGAAAATGTCCCAATGAATGTGATGCAAGGATATCACATGGCTTTAAAATCACAAATTGGGATGGTGCTAATCTTGATGTCACAGGTGAAGATCCCAGGCTGTCCATTGTCTCTCAATGGACTCAAGTAGTCCCTGATCCACACTATTGCTTAATGCTTCCTTGGTGTTCTTCACACTGCTCATTCTATGCACAGTGAGGCCACACACAGTTACTAACCAAAGGGTACCCACGACTTCACTTCTCAGAGGAAGGGTCAGGCACAGTAGGATGGCGGGCACTTATTCAAGACAGCAGCTCACAGACAGTTGTGCTGTAGGGAGAACACATTCGAGTCGGCACACTATACAGTGCCTTTGCCACCTTGGCAGTCTGCAAGGCAAGAAGGACTCCAGGATTCTATATCAGATGACAAGCTTAAATCCTGCACCACACATGTCACTTATTTATATCAAACAAACAAACAAACAAATCAAGCATATCCCCAGTAATCTGGAACTCTTACTGATTGACACAGCTTTCTGTCAGAAAATGTAGATTTGCCAGGCCTGTCTTGCAACTCTTGCCTACTCCCTCACCCCAGTTGCTTTGTGTTCTGTGTAAACTGGGTTTTCTGAGTAGCATGAGGAAAGTCAGTGAGGAACTGTCTAGAAGCCAGTCTTCATTAGATGCCATCCCAGAGCACCTACTCTACCCAGAAGGTTTACACAAACAGAAGAAAGGGGCACATAGCCTTAACAATACTGCCAATTATCCTGTGTGGCTGTAAATTCCTACTTGTGATTTCCCATAGGCTATGCATGTGCAGACACATTCAGACACACAACATGCACACAGACATAGTTTACTTCAATGATAACAAAACACTTCTTGGGGCTGGAGAGTTGGCATCAAGGTCACTGGTTGCCCTTCTAAAGGACAGGTTTTGATTCACAGTACCTACACGGTGGCTCACAACTGTAACTCCAGTCCCAGAGGATCTGACACCCTCTTCTGGCTTCCATAAGCAACAGGCATGCAGGTGGTACACAGACATATAAGTAGGTAACACACACACACACACACACACACACACACACACACACACACACACCATAACATCTCTTGAAAACTGAATAGTTTATGAACCGTCTTTTATGTTTCCCCTATCCCCAGATGTTTGAACATCTGCTGGGTGTAAAACTGACTTTTTTTGATAGAATAACTTAATTATTAAAAAATACTGATAGCAACCTTACTCAGAATACCCAAAGAGGATATGAAAGGTTACAAACTAATGTGTTAATTGAAAATTGGACATACCACAGTGTAGAATAGAAATTCATGGGAAATCATGAAGTATTGGTACTTATTACAGGATAGATACCCCCTGAGAAAACTATGCTTGGTTAATAAAGTTAATCATCAAGTCCAAAATGACAATTCCCTCCATATAAATGTCGAGAAGGGACTGACCCCATGGAAGGGAGGTGTTTGTCTACGGTTTCAGTGAAGGATATAGGACAGCTACGATTACAATGTTTGTTTAAACAATGACAATCAGCTATTTAAAGAGATA